ATGCTATGTAATGGCAGTGTAATGAAACGCTCAGTAACGAAAGCAAAAGGTCATCTTTGCTCTCTGATGTGATTGACTCCACCCGCCTTTTAATTAAGCCAAATGCAAAGTAATGCATTGTGCTGAGAACAGTGTGCTGCCAAAGCTTTGGCAACCTGCTTGGAGCTGTGCTCGTCCTTTGGATGCATCAGTGATGACAGGAGGGCAACAAAGCCATTGCTGTCTGTACGCCTTTGTGCCCAAACTGTCCTTTCACCTGTGTTTTAGCTGCAGCATCCCACAGAGCTTCCCATTTTCCTCTGCAAAACTCACTTCTCACGTGCGGCGTTTGCTCGGCTGCTGTGCGTCAGTGTGACAGCATTTTCTGCTGTGACCCATCCACGAACAACCAGCCTTTCAGTGGTTCAGTCTCATTATTTAAAGAAAAGTCGTCTTTTATTGCATTCCTGCAGCAGGAATGGGAAGAAACGGTGGAAAAAAAAGGCATTGAAATCCCAGTGTCTTGTTTTTGAGCTTTTTATAGGTAGGCAAACATATGGGCTTGCCTAGATTAATAAAAAAGCACACAACAACAGTAGCAAGAACGTGTTTCAGAAGGCTCAATCTGTCAAGGACCAGACTGAAGGGTTTGGTTTTTTGCTAAGCAAACTTCAGTTATCCTGAAACAATTACCTTTATTGGAGGGTCGGGGGATAGAGAATGACTTTAAAAGGCTTTAAAAAGATGAACCATTTTCTGTGATAAGTAAAATCAGCGAAGGATGTGATGATAGGAACTGAACCATGGTTGGAAATTGTGTTTGAATAATCTTGGAAGAAACCAAAGGAAAATCTATTATATTTAAATCTTTTTTTTTTTTTTTTTTCATTATTATTATTATTTCCTGCCCTGGCAGATGAATGTTGAATGGAACTATTAGTTATGGGCAAAAATGGAAAGGAGGAGAGCAGAGAAGATTGCTGGTTTTCATTATTACTACTAATTTTATTATTACCACATTTTTCATGGCAAACTCACTGAAGACGGGACCAAAAATAGAAATCTGGGACCTCCCGACTCAAAGCCTTCATGTTTCCATCCATCAAGACTTTGAAAAGAGAAGGGTAGAAAAACAACAAGAGGGGGAAGGAAGCAAAAAGCACCCAAGGGGAGGAAGGCCAAGGTCGGGGTGAATGGGAGCACAGCTGGATGCTGCTGTAAGGCTCTGCTGGTCCCATCCAGCCCACGTGTTGCTGTGAGGAGGGGTGGGTGATGTCTATGGGCACAAAATGCTTCAAGAGAACAGGAGGGATGTGTCCAACCCTCAGGTTGTTTTATCAGACCCATTGGCTCTTGAGTCTCATTGGAAGCTCTGAGGAAAGCAAATGTTTGCTCAGAGAGGCTGCGGTTGTGTGCGCGGGCAATGCCAGGAGTTCACACATCATTATAAACAGCTGAGCAAAATACTTTTCCTTCTGGTATTTCTAGGATGGTTGAAAATCAAAACTAATAGAAACGCACTTAGTGTTCTTTCGGAAGGAGTCAGGGAACATTTTCTTCTTCTGAGAGCTGCTGGGTACGGTGAGGGATGGGGCTCTCTGGTGCTTTGTGGTTTGAGGTGGGTTGTGCAGCAGGGTGCAGTGCTGTCATCATTGAGATGTGAAGGTTGGGAAGATCAGGCCAGGCCACCAACAGTGCTTGAAGAGCATCGGTAGCTTCAAAGCATCTGCAAAGAGGGGAATGTAAAGGTGATGTAAAGGCTCTGAGAGCTGAACATCTCATCACTGTCAAGACAACACCTTGCACTACCATCAAGCAGTAGCAGATAGCCAAACATGCCTTTTTTCCAAATATTCCCCTGAACTATTAAAAACAATACACTTTTTAAGGTTTGCTTGTTAATTTAAGGGTGGACTTCTGTAGGGCTGTTCTTAGCCCTGATCTGAGCCCTCACCAACCCAAGTGAGCAGGAGCAAAAACTCAGAGTCGGGTCCTGCTGGGTTATGTGCTGAGTGAGTGGAAGCTGCCTCCAAGCTGCTTGTTTGTGGGTGTCGAGAGCACGAATTAATCCCTTCTGTTAGAAGGAAAGTTTATTATTTTTCAGTTTAACCATATTCTGTTACCTGTTTTGGAGCAGCGAGGCAGGATGTTAGAGGAGCCCAGCGGAGTTGGGAAAAGCGGTTCATTTTCAGGGCAGATTGTTAATTTTTGTGGTACAGTTCCTTTATTTTAAGGTCAAGGGCGGGTAAGAATCACAAAGTTGAAGTATTGGTCTGGGAGCCAAGTGAGCAGCCAAAGAAAAGCCATATCCTCACACCTGCACCTACTGCTGAGGTCTCTGCTCCCCCACTCCTCCACTGTGCCACATAAAGCTGTTGATCCCTTGATGTCTGTAATTTTTGCACATTAGTTTCCTATAGAATTTGTGGCAAACACGACAGAACTGTGAGATGGGGCAGATTGAAGTCGTAGGGCTGGGGCTTTTATCTGCGGTCTGCTAAATGAACTCTGTTCTTTTTCCCATTTGTTTGTCTGTCTGCATGTCAGCGTGGGATTTGGAGAGAATTTCTTCATCTTGGACCTTCCTAGCCAGTGTGAAAGGAAATTGGGGTGCCTCCTTTTCTGTGGCACGTTGAATACTATGAAAGAAAGTATTTTAGAGCCCCCAGGACCGTAAGCAAACTTCCCACTCCATTGGCATCATTAGGTGTTTTCTGAACCATGTGTCGATCAGTGGTGCTGCTGGAGAGAGCTAGAAAGGGTGACTTAGAACTGCTCAGGTTGGAAAAGACCTTAAAGGTCATCAAATCCAACCAGTGGTGGATCACTGTGGTCCTTTTCAACCCAGGCCATTCTGTGCTTCTGTGATGAGATTCCCTTTGCAAGGGGTGCAGTTGGGAGCGCATCCTAAGACAGTGAAGCTGGTGCTGTTAGCAGCTGTAGGCTTCTTTGTTGTTAAAGAGGGCAAGAAAGGGGCTGGTTTGGTTGCTTGCAGTCAGCCTGAGGTTTGTTTCAGAAGTTACTGAGACCAAATACATTTTAGAGCTGCAGACAATCAATAGGACGGACTGCCGTGTAGTTCTGATGAGGTGTATCATGTCGTTCCAAAGTAAATAGTGCAGGACAAGAGGCTTTTGCTTACTCCTGTAAAAACAGAACGCAGCATCCTTTTGCAGCTTGGTGCAGAAGGTATCTCAGAACATCCAAGATCCCCATAAAACCCTGCCAACACCCCAAAGGTCCTTCCTAGGGGTCACCTCTGGCCTCCCACACTCCCCAAGGAGGGGCTGTGCTGCCCACTCCTTCACGGCCACCCACCCTCCCATCAGCTGAGAAATCATACTTGGGTAAGGGAGGCTTTTGTTCAGAATGTTATTTTTGCTCTCGGTTCTCTTTCCTTCGTTTGAAAGGCATCTTTTGAGCGCTGTGGTTCAAATACCAGAGGTGGTTAAAAACAAAACGGCACTCACAGCATATAGAAACCAAAACGGAACTTGTATATTTTGGCTGCGTTTTAAAATGAGATCGGGGGACTTGCTGTTGTTCACATATGTATATTTTATTCTGATTTGTGTTTCAAGTAGTAAATTACAATTGCTCTCATTGCAGGGATGCATTTAAGCAAGCAATTTTGGGTGAAGCATCTGCTCTTCTGTTGCTCTTCGGCTATCGGGGGACTCAGCCTCAAGCAGTCAGCATGCAGATGTGTAGAGTCAGTGGCTGCGAGCATTAATTAGCAGTAATTTGTAAATCTACACCTTCACGTGCAATGGGAAGATAAACATTGCTGTAACAAATTGTCGAAAGTTGAATGTGTTTGGCTGTGAGAATAAGTATCTTGGCTCTGTCTCTCTATTTATATAACAGTGAAGACATTAGTTGGGAGATGGCTGTGTGCTATTGACATTACTGCAGTGCAGACTGCTCGGTCTGTCCCACTTACCCTTTGCAATAATCATTAGCAGAATTATGAATCCTTCATCAATTATCTTTTGCAGTGCTTAGGGAGGTGTCGTTTATCATGAGGGCGGCAACAGCCCACTCCTTAGGAAAGCCACTATCTCTCATTGGAAGCAGTTTGCCAAGAAAACATCTTTTGAAATGTTTCCCAGGCCACAGGAGCACAATATTTCCATGCAAAGATACAACAGCAAACAAGCAAAACAGAACAAGTCCTTTTTTTTTCCCCAGCAAACCTGCCTTCAAACCTCTTATCTTCAACCTGAAGGTGCAAGAATGCTAGAAGTGAACTCAATGTCTGCCTTTTGTTTTCCCCCTCTCTCTGCCATCATAAAACCGAGCAGAAGAGGTTTCTGAAGCAGCTTCCCACCAGCTCATCCTATGAGGAACCTGAGCTGATGGCACTGCTGTGCTCATCTGCTGGCTGGCAGAATAAACAGATCAGTTTTCATAGCTGCAGTCTGTGAAACTGAACACTTCTCATACTTACAAACTATGCAGCACAATCACTGCTTTGGTTTTTCCTTCCGTGTGGCTTCTTAAGTCTACAAGCCTTGCTTTTGTTTGGGTTGCAAGTACAGCTCAGCAGAGCTGGGGGGAATTGGATGCACCCAGAGAATAGAGATGTGGTAATTGGACTGGTGAATTAGTGTGCTAACTATTGTGCAAATGAATTGGAATTAGAATTGATCTATTTAGCATAGGCCACCAGGGTGATATATTCCTTTGCTAGTGTTGATACAGGTAGGGGATGACTTATTTTGTGTTAGGGATCATAAGAGGGCCAAACGTTTCCAGGTATGGGGCTTGTTAGCCCTTCCAGGGAACAGCTGCAGGAATCCAGGTCTTGTAAGGCAAAATGCAGTGAGAACCTTGTGTGAGAATCTTCCATGTGTGTACCACGTCCTCTTGGAGACCCGTATTGTTTAAACTGTTATTGAAGACAAGTTTTCTTAAATTTCTGTTTAATTTGGCTTTGCATCTGTTTTCAGGTCGTTGTTTCCTAATGCATTTCTGGCTGTGCCTGTTCACAAGCTGTTTCTCCTTTGCTCTGCTTGCAGGTGTTGCAGGGCGCTCAGTTGATAGCTGTTGCATCTGCTGAGCCTGCATCAGGAGGAGTTGATGGATCCCCACTGCAAGGCAGCGATATCCAAGTCCAGTATGTGCAGCTCACACCAGTGACAGACCACTCTGCAACCAGTCAAGTATGCCTGCGTTTATGTCTATATATATATATATCTGCCATATATATATATTTACCTTCTCAATGTACTTAACTCGTTTGAAACATCTGCCAGATGAGCTATCTGAATGAGTTCACGGCCCTGTTTCCAAACCAAAAATACAAAATTTAGCAGAAGCGTCATCTTCTTCAGGTGTGGATGGGCACAAGCATTCATTTGAGAATATGATCCTATTTCCAAACTGCTTAGAAAAAAAAAATAGAGTCATCTATAATAAGAAACATAATTTTCTTAAAGGTAAAACTGGTGATTGACTGTTCCTTCTTCGGCGCTGTTGCTCGGTGCCCCCAGAGAACAGTTATTTTTGTCACCATTGTTTTTCTGCATCCTTGAGGGCTGAGAGCCATATTTACAGGACATGGAGAAAAAACTGGCTTGGAAACTATCCAAAAAGTGTTTTTCAGACTGAGGTTTCTCTTAAAAAGGTTATTCTCTTTCTGACAGAAGTTTTCCAGTTCTTTTGATCCGCAGCCTGGATTTCCCACGGGAGCTGCAATGTATGCAATTGTAAGTGAACGCTTGATGGTCTCAGTTAAGGAGGAGGAGGTGTGTTTTATGTCTTTTCTTGATCTGTTTGAGCAGTCACGTAGCTGAGGCTAGCACCAACTCAAAGCCACTCCTGCAGGCAGTTATGGAAGACAAAAAGGCAGTTGTCAGATTTTTCTGAAGGTGATTACACGTTGTTCCATGAACCCAACTGTAGTGGCTCCTTTTCTAGAGAATGCCTAGTGCTTGTCAGAGGTGTATTGCCTTACCAGCCAGAATATTATGCTATCCACAGCAGCCAATCTTAGAAGGGAATTCTGTCTGATAGATACGCAGTTTTGCAGAGAGTTCTGATCTGGCTGCAAACATTTGGATGTTGGGTCTCTTGAGCTGCGTAAGAAATGGAGGAAGTCATGTTCCTTCCCTAGGTTTGTCTCTGTGCTTTCAGGCCTCCTCAGTCATCGATTCACAGTCGCTTGTAATAGTGCTGGACAATGAGAGCCTTGCTGATGGGTCGTGCCTTATTTCTTGAAGCTGTACCAAGAGTACTGCTGGTCCCATGCAACTAACGGGCATATAGGCATCAGATAGGAAGAGGTGTTTCTCTCCTGCCGTGCTGCTGTCCTCACTCCATGCCTTGGAGACTTCAAATCCAGCACCCACGGGCTGGGTCTGTTCCTGGAGGCTGTGCTCCCCCCTTGGCTCCCACCTCCCATGGCAGGAGGCTGTGGTTATAAACATCAGCATCCGTCTCCCACACGACTGGCAGCCACCAGAGGAGCTACTTTCCTTTTCAGGGACACTTTGCACCGTGTTAGATTTTAGTATTGTGGTTAACCACAGATTTATACAGAGCTGAAGAGAAACAGAAAAGGAATGTGAAATAAGAAAAGTATGAAAGGAAAAACAGACTAAAAATAAGTTTGCCATAAATATTTCCTCGGTTTACACAAACTGAAAACCAAGGATCTGATAATGAATTGGAGAAACCAACTTGGAATTTGCGTTGCATGGAGTTATGGGGATAGCTGTAGCTTTTTTGGCTAATGTTGTAGAACAGTCCTACAGGCTTAGAAAGGCCTTCATCAGAAGGGAGAGGTCATAGAGGTATCTCTCACCGAGACTGGAGCAACAATTGGATTCGTGGGCTGCTTTGCCAAGGTACTGAGATGTTCTCAACGACTTTGAATCTCAGGGAGCTGTTTGCAGCGAGTCCCTTCTCTGACTCCAGCTGAAGCACACAGAACTGCACACTTCCATTCAGTGCTCTCAGTGCAATGCGTGGTTTTGCATCTGCAAGTTGGCTGTGGGCGGAATTAAGAGTGGCAAGCGTTCCAAAAGGCTCTTAGTTCCCTTATAGAACAGATATAAATACGAGCTATTAATGTGCTAACATTCTTCTGCAGGCAATTTCAAACCTAAGTTGTGCTTCTTGTCCCCTTTGGGCAATCTTCTACTTTAGTCTGAATTTTGGAGAAATATTCAGCATTACCATTATGCCTATTATTTGGTGGCTATTTTAATTCCATTAAGATTTCATCTACCGGGAGAGAAAACTTGGATCACTTGAAGACTTTCCTGCTAGCAGATGTGGCAGTATGTTAGGATTATTCACTGCTCTGACACTCATCTATTGACAGTGATCTATTGACACCAATTTATTGAATGTGTAAATAAGTGCCGAATTACCTCTGGGTACAGATCTTGTAGTGGTGTGCAATTACTGGCCATAAATCAGAGAGATGGAGAGAAAATTTCACAGCCAAGTTGTTGCATAGAAGCGGTGCTTTATGATTTTGAACCTCCCGTATTTTCACTTGAATAAATAATCTGTGGCTGTATGACAAAGCCTAAGGGAGAGGAACGCAGGTTGAATTTCCACCTCTGCCTCTTTGTGGTTCATCGAGCCTCAGAGCCGGGCTGAGAGCAGGGAAGACATTGTCATAAAAGAAGAATTCCACGGAAACACTTCTGTATCCAGGACGTTACATAAAGCATCGATTAGATGAATTTATGGAGGGAAAATCCATCCAGGGCAGATCTCCGGAATCTGTGGGAGTGTGCAGGAAAATACCATTAAGCACTTGCCCTTTTCTCAGAGTTTATCTGTGCTTGTGATATTGGCTGCTATCAGGGGAAGGATTATTGGGTGTGAGGGACTTTATCCAAGCCAGTACAGCTGTTCTGAAATGCTTCTCATTTTATAGCTTTAACATGCTCCGTGATCTGGTTTTCTGTTCACTGGCTGACTTGGTCCAAAGGGTGATTTGCTGCAGGATTACCCTGCAGTACTGCAGTATTACCCCGGTAGTGACTGATGTGGGGCAACTCCATCTTTGATCAGACCTCCTTTCATTGCTTTTACGTTAACTTCCTTCATGGAGGACTGCTTAGGCTTGGAAAGTGGGGAGAACCTGAGGCCCTTAGGAAGAGTTTAGAGGCAAAAAATGTTGGTAGCAGTATTCTCATTTGGCACAGAGCAGAGAACGACTGCAGGGGGTTAGGCCAGCAGCCTGCTTGTGTCCTGAACCAGCAGAGAAAATTAGGAGCACAGAGCAAACAGATAATTATACTATGGCAGTTTTGTCACCCTGGGACTTGTTGGCCTTCCTGCAGTTGCTGTTGATGGATTTTTCTTCCGTAGCACCATTCAGCTCCAGCCCACATCCTCTTGGGCACAGACAGCTTTAGTTCTGGTTCTCCTTATGGTTGGTTCCTTTCTGGGAAGAGACCTTTAAATAGGTTTCTTTTCTTCCCTATTTGCTCTCTTTGTGCCACTCATGATGTTACAGACCCTTGTTACGGGTTTGTTCTTTCAGCCTTCTCTTTTCCATCCTGAAGGGCATTAGTCTTCTGCTTAGGTTTTGTATGGAAGCCATTCTGTTCTTCTGGCCATTTGTAGTGCCTTTGTAAGCACACATTTCAGCTCCACCGTGGAGTTGATATTCGTGCAGATATTGCACTGGTGTAGAGAAGAACTCTGTATTAATGTGGTTTGCTCCTTTGGTTGCATCAGCGACAAACGTTTTTCCTATTGATTTCCTGATCTCCCTTTTCTTTCTGCAGGGCACTGACACCCTCCAGTCAGCAATCCAACCAGAGATGCAGATAGAACACGGAGCAATCCAAATCCAATAAGAAAGTGGTGAAAAGCTGCGTGAGCTGAGATGTCAGCGAGCCACGGTGGGAAATGGAGCCCTGCAGTCGTCGTGCAGCCCCAGGAAGATGGACTCATAGGCTGACAGTGGCTCCTGTGCACACAGCAGGTTTCTGACCATCCGTTTGTGCTCACCCAGAACAAACCAGAGCCATTTGCTGCAATTGGAGCTGCATTGCTGCGTCTGTTGAGAATTTACCCCTCAGAACAAAAAGCAAACACGTGACCTGCCCGTAGGTATATTTAAGGAGGAGAAAGTCAGTTTGGAAAGAAACCCAACTAATGGAAACAGTGAGACTTCGATTCATGTTTCATCCTGTCGTTTCTTCTGTGAAATACGCCATTTGAATGTCTGCAAAATGTCTTGGGAGGTGTATTGCTGCTTTGCAATACTTGCTTTACCACGTATCAAGAAGATCAAGAGCTCAAATATTTTTCACCGTTCAGACAGCTTTTTTATTTGCAATGGTGTTTATAACAAAAATGGAAAATATTAAAAAAAAAAACAAAGGAAAAAAAAAAGAAAAACCCCATAACTGCGAGTATTAGCCTTTTGCTGGTGTTTTCTGTTCAGTGTAATGAAAATGTTTATTTGCAGAAGACTAACAATTTTGTTTGTACTGTTGCTTAACTACTTTTCTAGGGGAAAATGCTTTTAAATGCTGTAATTATGCATTTCTAATGAAAAATAAATGTGTATTTATGAATAGTGCAGCTCTAAGTTGCTCTCTGCTGTAGGAATGAGCACAGTTTGACCAGGCTGTGCCACAGCAGTGTAGTTCTGGAGCATCCAAAGACAGATGCTATCAAGTGAGCTCTGCTGTCTCACTGAGAAGTGAGATTAAGTCTGTAAGGAAGATATCAATCTTAGATAACGTTATTATCTGAATGTCCAGTACAAGGAAAATGGAATAGTTAAGCTTTTGAGTCTGCAAATCCTATTTTGTGCAGTGATACTATGAAATCATTTTTACAAATGTGAATAATTCTTCTGAGCTGTTTCCTTTTTAGTACCTCCTGTCTCCGTTCAGGGCAATACCTCTGATTGGAATTCATCCTTATAAAGCTGAGTTACAGAACTTCTGATACCCGTCTTGGTATCCAGCCTGCAGCAGCAAGGTGAAATCCTCTCCCTGCCAAGACTTGTGGGAAGCTGGAGATCAGTTTCAGCAAAAGTAGCTTTTCATATTTGCTAAGCTTGAGTGGAAAGGATGCGTGTCTGCTGTAACCTGCTTAGAAAAGTATGGAATTCACTGGGGGAGGGGTTGGCTTGTGCTTTTTTCAGCTGT